ACAGACATAGGTAAGTGGCCATATCTATCTTGTGCTACACAATTTTGATATCAGTCACAAAGCATTTGAAATTCTAACCTTGTTGGAAAATTACCTTCTATTTCCTAGGTGCATGTTCACCCCATTCACCAAAGCAATAAATTAAAATTTAATCTAAAATCACTGATTAAGCATCTAGGAAATACATGAGAGGTGGAGGAGAGAAAGACTTATGGTAGAATGTATACAGGGCTATACCTTGCAATGTGTATTTTTTAGTAGAGGTTTGTCACTCAACATAGAAAAGTCAAGAAGTTCCACTAAGTATTGTTCCTTGTACATCCCTTTCTATTCTCTAAGTCCCACAAAGTGCTATTCTCTTTGCAAGGAGCCCCAGATAATCAAAACCAGAAGAATTAATTACTTTTTCCAGGAATAACTACTTTCAACAAATGTTAAAGTTTTAAAATAACAACAGAATTTTAGCCATTTGCCCTCAGGTAAGAAAGAGGAATACTACCCTTGCCTCTTAATTCACAGGCCATAAATAGTTTCATTAAAATATCTTTCACAGCCTCTGATAGAATTCTATGATGCACAAACTAAGTTCTATTATAGTGTGTGAAGACTCATAATTAACTCTAAGATTATGAGCATACTACTCAGAGTAATAGCTACAAATAACACTTGGCTCAAGTATTATAGAAGCATCTTAATCATACAGAACCTTCAAAGCATTAATATTTTGCCCATTTCTCATTTTAATTATGAAAATAGAAAACAAGTTTGGGAAATATAGTCTCGACAATATATCTTGAAAGTCTTTGCCTTAATTTATAATAACTCTCCAAATAAATATTAAAGAATATACTCTTGACCCTATTAAATTATGAATTGAGTAGGCAACTCTTAAATTTAAAAGATAGGGTTTAAAACATTATTTTTCTCTACTGCTACTTCCTGGACACTTAGCTGGTGGCTGAACTACCTTGAACTCAAGATCTAAATGAGGGAAAAATATCTTCAAGATGCTAATTCATTTTTGTCAGTACATCATCATTAAAAATTAAATATTATTATAATGGCTAATGATTACATGTGTTTGATTTTTAATCTTCATATCATTTGAGACTTTATTTCTTATCTAATTTGAAATTTACTCATTCATTGCTTATATTCCTTCTTCCTACAGTAGAAAATTATCACTTACTCTTAAGAAATAAAAAATTTGAGGTGTTACATTTAATTTTCCATTAAGTTAAATGACCTACAATTATTGAATATTTATGTAAAACAAAATATGTGCTCTTCCCACCACACTCCTCCCATTTCACCCAATGAAAACTTGTGCATTGTATATATATTTACAACAAAAGTTTTAAACCACTGTAACAAACCCCAGGCTACCTTCCCACCCCTAAATTCCTCTACTTGACCTTTGTGCTACTAATCTTGCTTGCTAACTTGAGTAGATTAAGAGATTCCTAGCAGGGTGATTGCATTCTGAGGGCACTAACCTCATCAACAAGTTAACCCACTGAGTTCATAACTCAATGAGATGCTAAGAGGTGGAGCTTCATCTGAGAACGTGGGTCACACTGCCATGGTGTGGGGACTATTTCTGGTACCTAGCTTCTTCCTTTCCATCACTTTCAATTCTTCCTGTTTCCAGCTACCAGGAGGTAGGCAGCATTCCTATACTATGACCCTCTGCTCTTCTGTTTCTGCCTTTGAGGCAGCTGACCATGGACTAAAATTTCTGAAACTATGAGCAAAGGTAAACCTCTCCTTTAAATTGTGGGTAGCTGTTATTCTGTTCCACCAACGAGAAAGCTGACCAATTATTATGGTTTCTGCCTGAATGTTCCCCCAAAGCCTCATGCAGTCATTAAATGTGGGCTTTTTGAGGAAGCTGAATCTAGAGTTTGTGATTGAGTCACAGTGCAATGCTGAGACTATGGGTGTGAGCACTACACCCACCCTAGGGCAGGTAGCCTGCATACAATATAAGGGATGGGAAGAGTGTTATCTCTTTCTCCCCTCTGGTGCTCTCTTATTGCTTTTGCTGTCCTCTTTTACCATGAACTGTTGCCCCTCTGCCACATGTCACCCTGCCTTGGATCCAGCAGATTATGGACTGAAATCTCTACAAATTTAACTCAATAAAACTTTCCTCCTTTAACTTTGGGTCTGGGATATTTTGTCTCAGTAATGAGAGAATGACAATTAAGACACCAATACAATTCATTTCAGCTAAAAGTGTCATTGCTGCCCCTTGGATATGAGATTATGAAGATGCTCTCATCTCTAGGGCTTTGTCCTTCCTTCCTCTACCTGAAATGCCTGTCTTCCGAAGGCCCACGTGGCGCAAACCATCACCTCCACCAGGACTTCAGATTGCAGCCTTCTTCAGTACACTTTTCCATCCCTGCTTCATTTATTCTGGGACCTATTATTTTAAATACATTATATATGTTCTTTTTATCTCTTCTCATGTGGCAGGTGGAATTCAAAGATATATCACCAAGATTTAGAACACTTTGATATTTGAAAAAGCACTAATCTAAGCATTGCTGCAAAATAAAATTAAAGTTGCTAAACAGTTGGTTTGGATTATCTTAGTGGACTCAGTGCAATAACCTGAGTGATTAAGAGCTCATGAGAAAGGTAGAAAAGTAAGTCAGAAAGATATAGCAGAAGAAAAAGGCAGAGGTTAAATGCCCAGGAGGAGGACAGAGAGGCCCAGAGTGTGAGGGGGTTGCCACATATCCTTGCTGGCTTGGGGTGAAGGAAGCGTGATGAGAAACACAGGCATCCCGAGGAGCTAAGGGAGATTTCAACAGATGCTTCAATCCTCCGTTCACAGGAACTAAGTTGTGAAAATGACTTGAATGAGCCTGGAAGCAGATTCTCCTCCAGAATTTGCAGAAAAAAGACAGTTCTGCTCTAAAAAGAAAAGGCAACCCCACCCCATGATTTTGGCCTTATGAAACTCAAAACAGGTCTCACTGAACAATGCTATGACTGATCTATAGACAATTAATGGGTGTTGTATTACAACATTAAATTTGTAGTAAATTGTTATAACAGCATGGCATGGTGGCACATGCCTGTAATCCCAGCACTCAGGAGGCTGAGACAGGAGGATCACTGTGAGTTCAAGACCAACCCAGACTACAAAGGGAGTTCAAGGCCAACTTGAACTACATTAGGAGATCCTATCTCAAAAGAAGACCAAAAAGAAGGAATTGTTATGGCAGCAACAGAAAACAGAATAGAGACCCTACAAGGACAAGAGTTCTTATCTACTTTCTTTTGCTTTTGTCAATGCCTATGCTAGAACTTAGGACAGCACCTTAAAATAGTAGACAACAAAGACTTCTTGAGTGAATGAATACATTCAGTGTACACATTCTTTCCCTTAGAATACACATTTTACAAAGTCTATGAAATTTAACCCCAAAATATTTCATATTAAAATGCACAAGGTGAACTGATGCAGAAAATTTTTCCAGTAATTTGCACATCTGCAAGTTAGCAGTGGTTATCAGTTACATGAGGCAGACACAAGGAACAATCAAATACCACTGCCCAATGTAGTGCTTTTCAAACTATAGATTGTGACAGATTGCCACGTGAAAAAAATCAGTTTTGAAGGTGACATTGGAGGAAAGGAAGAAAGGAGAGTAGCAGGAACAGAGAAAAAGTGAGTGAAAGATAAGAAAGAGAGAATAAAACCAAAATGTCAAAGTACAACTTTCACTGTAGTGTCATGTACGACAGTGTTGCATAGGTGCTAGACCACAATGTAAGATGTGTGTCTTGGTGTGGATACTGTGAAAATAGTCAGAAGGCCACCATCATAAAGGTCATTACACCCTGTGTGATGGACCAGAGTGCAATTTAGGGCTTGACTGGAGATGAGATGGAGATAAATGAGAATGTGCCTCTCAAGACCTGGCTGGTCAAGAAAGAACCACAGTGTTCTAAACCTGTACTTAAATTTGCCCCGCAAAAGTGAGCATTAATATTGAGGAGCTCACACGAATTATACAACTTGAAGGTAAGAAAAGGGACTTTCCTCTTGTTGCCATATTCCTCCTTTGCCTTATGTGTAGATAACATATGGGAGGCTCTTCAGATTGACCAACAGAGCACAGTCACTGCGACTTGGTATGTAATCCAGTGGCATCTGGAAAAGGATGCCTTTTAAGGCTTTAATCAACAAGGCACCTGGGCTGGGGATTTAGCTCAGCAGCATAGCGCCTGCCTGGCAAGTGCAAAGTCGTGAGTTCAATTCCCGGTACCGGAAAAAAACAAAAAACAAACAATCAACAAGGCATCACAAAATGAGAATTTTTTTCCTCTTTTACAGGGAAAAAATTCTAAAAATCAATATTCATCTGTCTCCTGAGATTATCCAGGTATTAGTGTCATAGAAATTTAGCTTGAAAGAAAGTTAGGAATATAATTGGAACACAGAACCAAGAATAAACATGAGTTAAAGGAACTGGAAGTTGAATCAGACACACGCGGGCATGCACACACGCATGCCCGCACACACGCATGCACAACCTCTGAAGCTAAACAATGGCTTATGCTGCTTCATTACTTTACAAAGTCACTCGATTTTTACTTACCATTGAATCCAATGTTTACTGTTAGTGAACTATGAATGGACAAATAATAGAACGGTACAATACTCATTTCCCAGGCCAAGGACAGAATCCTTGTAGGATGGGATTCTGATATACCTACGCTGTATTCTCTTTAGTGTCCACTGGAGTCAAAAAATTACATAAGATAGTACCTGCAGTGCCCTTGACAGTGGTTTGCACCCCGGAAGAGCTAAGTAAAGGCTTTCACATCTGCTCTTTGTGTTTTGAGTACTACTATAGAATGTCATGTATAGGAAAGTCTTAGAGCCTATTGATTTCCACTGCATTATACAGTGAAGTCAAGTCGTATTTTATGCCCTTAAAATCTAATTTATTTGAAGAGACATTCAAATATCAGCGTTTTTAATTTACTTATGGCACTTTAATGAATAAAGGTAAAATAATTCCAATTAGTTAACCAGGCACCCAGAAATTTTTTCTTAAGCATGTGAAAAGTCAGGAGACTTGGGATTTGTTATTCACGGATAATCTTTTTAATGACAATATAAAGTCTTGTTCTGTATAAAGTAATATCCATTTTTCCTTAGGTAACAGTCAGACATGAGAGCTATGGTGATTACTGGAGTTTGGAACTTGGTGTCCATGTTGATGAGCTGGAAATCCTAAAAGGAAAATGTGACTTCCTTAGATCTTCCACAGAAAAAGAGTATCAAAACATTAAAAGAAATGAACCACAGTTAGTTTTTTTAACCAATGATTCCATAATGTTAAAGATTTTTTCTGATATCTTATAAGCTCTACAGCACCTTTCCCCCCTGCTATTTTTGTGTTGTATAATTAGCATATAATTATGTGCTCTTTCACACTGGAAAGACTACTCTTTTATTAATGAGTCTTTTAAAAAGTTCTGTATTATTTATCTTTGAAAACGAGTTTGAAATTAAAAGGCTTATATGACTTTTCCTTTCTTTCATTTTACCTTAGGAAGTTTTAAAAATAATACAGGAGATAGTTATGGATGCCACAGACAGTCCTTAATTCCTCACCTATGGAATGAAAAATAGTGTTTGGGGATATATATGTTACATCTTTTGTTCTCCCCAGATTTAATGTGTGGAGTTTTGAAGGACAAAATATTGGTGTTCCAAAAAGGACTCTCTATTTCTTACCTTTCCCCCTTTTTGTGACAGAAAATGGGTCAAAATACATTCTGCATTTAGTACAAAGACAGAGGAGGGTACCATTTATGTACATGGTAGTAAGTACAGTGTAGGTTCCATATTAGTCTAAAACTAGTTTACCCAGCCCCTGGTTTTCAGATAGTTCTGGAAGGTACCACTCATCCTTGCTGAAGCCTTGTAAGCCTCACTGCTGATTTTGGCTGACTGCTTTTTTCCTAAATAAGCTTACCCAAGCATTCCAGATTGAATATGGGCAATTATAAGGCAGGGTGTACATTATTGCAAATTTTAATCATTTCTTGAGCCATTTTGCTTGTAATGATAATCCCATATGACCGACATATCTTGCATAAGAAACACAAATAGATTTTGGCTGAAAGCAGCTCTTGTATTACTTTGTAATCTATGCATTCCTGCTTTACTTCTGGACTTCCTTTTTGTGGCCAGGACCAGCCAAATCACAGTTCTAACGGTCTGTTGATGAAGGCAGCAAGAGACACTGTATTTATGAAAAACTGGAAAGCAGACAATAATAACCATGATTAAAACAATGATTCAAGTTTCTTCTGTTATGATTTACGCATGGTAGAAATTACCTCTGTCTAAACTCCTGTGGGCAAAACAATACAGTCCCCAGGAATATAGCAAGATTTTTTTGGTCTTTCACACTTTTAGCAATATTTCAGAAAAAACGGCAGAGAAGTAATAAACTCGTGACCTTGCAGGGTGTGTGTGTGTATGTATATGTGTGAAATAGTGTAAGGGAAATTTGCTCACATCGTTTTATAAAGCAAACTAACATTCACAGCTGCATGCTTTTGCCTTGCCGTTTGTAATGCTATGATATTTCTCTAGTTAAAAATATTAATTTTTCTCTATTTTTCATATTAGCAGGTTATTTCTTGGGAAGGAAAAAAGGGTAATAATTTTTTTTAAACTCTGGGCCATCAGCATTTTAAAATTTTCATTTTATTCTTGGGACAGGGTATCACTACATTAAATTGCCTATGCTGGGCTCAAACTTGTGATCCTCCTGCCTTAGCCTACTAGAACTGTGGAATTATACATATGTGCCACTACAACTGACCAATAAAAATTTATTTTGGGTTTACTCAAGAAAGTCCTTCTTTCAAGTTTTATCTTCTCTTATACATGATTATTTTTCTTTTTAAAATGGGACTCATAGAATCAGAATCATTAGAGATCTTAAAAGCAATCAAAATACCTACTGTCACATGGATTCTTTCTATAATATTTTAAAGAAGGTCTTTTATAACCATCTGTCCTCTGGACCAAAAGAGATGAAAGAAAACCAGGAGATGGTACTCATTACACGAGGGACAACATATAACTGAACAAAGTATGGGACCTGGATGTGGTCTCCTCTGTCCCTAGTTTTGAATCCTATCTCTCATCCATCTTGTTTCATTATGTTGGGAAGAATTCCATGAAGCACAGACTCAATTTTAATTTTAGAATATTGAGAATATGACCAACGGGGAGTTAAACAGCACTTCAAAAAAATTTTTTCTATGAGAACTAAGACCACCTAGTACTGACCTTTTCATTTCAATGATCCAGAAAAGATATTTTTAAAGGTCTACCTCATGTGAAAGGAACTATGGAAAACATTTATTGCTATTCCATAGAGTAAGTTAAATCATAAGATAGAGTTGTGTGCAAAATACAGGTTAAGAAAACAGGTTTGGGGAAGGGGCTCTGCGTTTTAAACCCCAGTTTCCCAATTAATTAGTTTTACGACCTTGAAAACTCAACTAACATTTTTGAAGTTTTGGTTCACATGTCTGTAAAAGAGATAAAAATATTTTCCTATCCACTGGGCCTTTAAGAGGATTAAGTGACACAATTTATTTACAGCACTTTGTTTGGTATATGGCATATGTTTTAAGTATGTTTAAGTAGCTTCTCCAGTCAACTGAAGTAATGCAAACATAGAATTTGGTTATGAAATGCTCACCTTTTATTTTTGCATTTGTTTTAGAATATCAAACCTTCAGTGAATTTCCATGAGCTTTATTTTGAAATAAGAATAGTATTAGAAAAAAAATTTCATAGTATTTTATGTATCCAAAATATTTTTAACAAATCCATATGGATTATATCTTTTGCTAATTCACTGAATAAAACAACTATTCAAATTAACCAAATATACACTTACTGTATTTTGAAAAGATGTTCCAACATTTAACTAACAAGTTAGAGTCAATAATAATTTCACAAAGTATATTTTTATCTGTAATACCAGAAGCTTGGTCATTTCCGGTCACTATCTAATCAATCAAAGCCCTGAAGACTTCTCGTGACAGACTGAAGCATATTTGGATGAGATAATAAAAAATCTTTTAAATAGGTCCAAAAAACAACTGCTGTCAAACAATATTATAAATTCAGTAGTCTCTAGTTTTATGATAGTCCTTATAAAATATCCCCCTGCTATTGTTCTGGTATATTATTCAATAATATGCATGGAATCAATAGTATATTTTTCTTTAAGGCAAAAAAAGCCAACAGAAACACATAAAAAAAACCACAATAACAATCAATGTAAATTTCTATCATTTTGTTTTGAGGTCATGTATCATTTTTGTTCTTTTTGTGTTATTTTGATTTTGTCTTCATTGTTGTTTTGTCAGTTTTTTAATTTTTAAAATAAAAAAGGCAAAAATTTTGTTTGTTAAGTCTATAAAAATAGAATTCAAAATCTACTCATGCAGAAAATTCATGTATCTAATCAGAAAAATCAAAGAATAAAGCTATTTTTCACTCTTCCATCCCTCAAAAGCCACTCCTTACAAAGCTGAAACACATCACTGTCTTAAGAGCATTCCTTTCACTTTTTTATTTTAAAGAGAGTAGTAAATGAGAAACAAACAAAGAAATAGAACAGTAGCAGCATACCAGTATCACAAACATAAGCAAATCAAAGCAAGAACATTCAAAGTGATACAGGGTCTCAAGACAAAATAATACGAATCAACAGTGGTTGTTACATTACATATTGCTATCCTCAAGAGTATTCTTTTCATACTGAGCTTAAGATTCTGCAACTCCTCTTGGTAACCCATTAAAATTAGTATAAACTACAAATATTAAAAACTATCCAGAAATAAGTAAGATCAGAAAAGTACCTTCATAAAACATAAAGAAAAAATACAATGGGAGCATTTATGGGTCTTATGCAAACTAAATCCTTCTTTTTCAAAATTTATTCAAATTCCTATGCAGTAGAAGGATAGACACTGGCATGACCTTCCCAGCACTTAACATTCATCCTCCAGAGCTTTCCATTTCCTAGCAGTATCTCATGAAGGAACAGTGTTTATTTATCAGAGAGCATGACAGTTGATGGTAATCTAGGATGTTACTGTGAAATTAAAATGTGCTATGAAAATGAATTGAGGAAAAAGTGGGAAACATACACTATACCAAAAACTATGTTCTTTCATTCTATAACCACGCTAACATGCCATTTCACACTTCCCATTCTCTATTAATTCAGAGACACTTTGCTTTCATGAGCTGGCGGTCCACTTACCCGAGTTGTTTTCACTTTATTCCCAGAGGAACAGCTCCATCCTTTCCGATCTGGGAGAACTTTACACTCTTCGCCCTCCAAACACGGCTGCATGTGACACCACCATTTCTGTTCCACTATGGAAGCTACAAGAGAGACGAAAATCAGCTCAGGGTTTGCTACTTGAGACTTATTTCTTTGGGTGAACATTCAAAATGGAACAAAAGCCACTGGTCTCAATGAAAGATGTTTAACTAAAAGAATTTTTCTTTTAAAGTTTTACTTTTGGGGGATAGGTACACTTCACCAGAGATCTAAAGGGTAAACAACTATCTAAGTGAACAGTACCGTAATATTAACTATACTCCCAATGTTGAAGGACTTTTCATGTGAAAATCCCAGCAAATATATTTAAAAATCAATGTGAATGTGCTCATGCACTGATTCGTATAATTGTAGCAAAAATGGCCCCATGACCGCCTTAGAATAACGTAATATTTCCTATGAGTAGGCTGAAAAATGTAATATTAGAATAATGTAATATTTCCTATGAGTAGGCTGAAAAATCAGGAAACTTAATAGGAGGAGGGTTAAAATTAGGCAGAGTAGACACATTTTTCTTATTCTTTTACCTTGAGCAATAATCTTATCTCAGGACACCACCAAAAGAATTACTATTTACTGCAATATCAATTAAATAGACCCTTATAAAGATTTATATTTTGTTATAGTGAGGCAAACTCTCAAAGCAAGAAATTAATACTCTCGTGTATCTTCCTAAAAGTCAAATTTTGGATGAATTCTCTCTACAGCAAAACATTCACTCAGGTATAAGGTGTTGATTTTTTCATTCCCCAGACTCACTCTTGAGTTTAGCAACCCTCAGTATTAAACCATGCTTTTCACCTCACTTTTCCCAGTTAATTTATACACACGCCTCCCTTTATGGTCCAGAAAATCAACATGTCATGGCTTCAAAGTGAAAGACACATTGATGTAATGGAACCTCATGATGATGAGGAACCTCGTAAGACTCTAGGCATCTATTTAAAAGATTTTAGACTTCAAAATGCCCCCCTCCTTCCACAACTTCACTGCAACCATGTGATTTTAGCGCAATTCCCCAGGACTGACTACAGTTGATTACAGTGGGGTTCCAATCCCAAGCAGGCCCAGCTACACTGTCACAGTGAGCAATGGAAGAAGTCCCACCATCCACACAAGAAGGAGCAGCTCGTGTGGTGCCAGCCACCTGCCCAGGGAAGCAGGAACACTTGACTGTTTGTGATCGTTCTTCTATCTTGTTCTTATTACAGCATCTGTGGAGTGCCACCACCTCGCAAGTTCCCGTTTTAACATGGTGAGCTGTGTAAACACAAACAGAAGATAAAGCAACATTGAAAAAGCGTTGGACACTTCCCTCCCTCTTTCTAATTAGAAGTACATTAAATATAGCTCTATAAGGAATCCACCATGCATGAAGCTAGAAATACAATGATGCTAACTCCGTAATGCAGATTTGATTTCTTTTCTAAATGCAGTGAGAGCACTTCTGTCAGTAAATGCCTGGTGAAGCGGGAACAATTACTGACTAGATTAGAAGGAGCTGTTTAAAATGGGTCTGAAATATAGAGGCAATGTATGGTGCTATCAAAATATAGTTATTTGCTCATGATTTTTTCACATCCTTTGTTCGATGTGCTAGCCAGATTAAAGTAAACCCTGGACAAGGCACTTCAAAGTGGGGCTGACACTGATCCTATTCTCAAAACAGGTGGATGCTGATAACAGTTACGTCCATCAGGAGGGAGCGTGAGGGCTAGGCAAAAAACATCCTCCCAGGAAACAGGAGGCAGAGCATCAGGACCACATCTTCAGTAGTCTTCTGCCCAGTTTCCCCAGAAATGAACTAATGGAATGATTCTTCAACTGTTACCATTTTCTTAGAAGCTCAGCTAGTCTCAGGTTCCAAAATCAGTCTTCTCCATTTCGCTTAAGTGGATAGCTGCACGAAATGGCACCAACTACAATCAGAACTTGCATGGATTGATTATATCTGCCAGCCAGCACCTGCAAACTCAGCCTCATAAGTTGTCAGGATCCCATAACCATTTTGTTAACATCAAAGTAAGGTTACTGGGCTTTTCGGGTGATTGACTATTTTGAACCTCACTTTGTACAATATGATAGGCTTCTAGATTGCCATTATCATTATTTTTTCTGGCATTTCTTCTTCAAGTTATTAATCCTACCTGGAAATGATAAGGCATGAGTTTCATCTGATAAAAACAAAAGCAGTTTAACTCAAACATGCTTTGAAAGATTATACTTTCAGAAATTTAATTGATATAAAAGCAAATGTAAATAGGAAAATAGAAGATCCAAAGTTGTTAAAAGTTATAAACATATTTAGACCCATTATAATTGAGATCATGCATTATATTAACCTTCCCTTGGGAGATCAGAGGAATCAATATACAGTAACTCAGGTTGGAGAACTTGCTTAGATTTTTCTAAGAAAGTAAATCACACATCTCATCTACCTTTCATCCCTCCATGAGTCCAAGAAATTCAGGTGTGACATACAGCTTTGACATGTAATCTTCAAAAGAATCTTCTGTTAAGAAACAGAAACCTTTTCTAATGCTACAAAGATTTGTCAGCCACTATAGACACAAGTTTGATTCAAACACAAATCTACCTGCAAAAAAGGTTAAAAATGTAAGAGCCAAACTTCCCATCTCCTCCCTTTGTGCTCTTGAAAATATTTTCTTCATTCAAAATGAGTCAGTTAGTTTTAAGTTCCTGAAGATTTTATGTTACATCATGCAAGTAATGTATGCTTCCTTCTACACTGCACTTCACTTAGTCACATTTTGAATGAGCGAATGCCACCCAAATGGCATAGGTGTGAGTACTGGGTATACTCATCAGCTTTTCCATTGCAAGGACAAAATACCTAACACTTGCCAGTGAAAGGAGGGGGTGTTTAATATGGTTAATAGTTTCAGAGGGTTCAGTCCATGATCCAAGGTAGAATGGCAGATAGGCATGTCAGAGAAAGCTATTTATTTGTTGGTAGTCAAGAAGCAGCATGAGGAAGAGCACAAACCAGACGTATACCCTCCAAAGGAAGATCTCCAGTGACCCATCCCACTGGTCCCCATCACCTAAGCTAACAGCACATTCATTCGTGAAAATCAGTGGATTACTACAGCAATGAGTATAGTGCTTCCATGAACCAATCAGGAGGCAACCAAGTTAATCCAATCAAGTTAACAATGAAGCTTAACTTTCACACTGGGGAAATAGCAATGAGTAAGAGGACCACAGTCTGTCCCTGGCCTAAAAGAGAAGAAACCAATAATAAGCCCTTAAATTAAAGATTAGGAAAGCCAAAGTTAGGTTTTTAAACGTATTGAAAAAAAAATGTAGTACAGAAATGGGATTGAGAATAATTGAGCAGGGAAGGAATGTGCAAATAGTTTGTGTCTCAGGGAAGGTGTCCAGAGGAGGTAACTTGAATAATGAGTGGAATGATGAGAAGGAGGCCTCCATTACGAAGATCTAAGAAAAGAACAGCATTGCAAACAGAAGGATAAGCAAATGGCAAAGCCTTGAAAAAGGCACAGAGTTGCACCTTCCTCAGTCAGAAAGGAATTTGCCAGAAATGTCTGGAGGTCATGTAGGGGCTGATAAGACAAATGGGTATTATCCTCCTTACAAGGGAAAATCTTTGGATGAAAATGATATTATTTAATTTATGCTTAGCTTGAAAGTTTACTCAAGCTTCCACTCCCAGATTGGGCTCTGAAGGAAGCAGGAGTAGAGACAGCTAAGAAGTGACTGTGGTAGGCAGGTGGTAAAGGGTGGGGCTGAACTTGATGAGCTTGACAGGGCAAGAGGCAGAGAGACAGAGGTTAGGACATTTCAGTACAGAGGAGATTTGAGTTGCCATGGATTGAATGTGAGTCATGATAGAGAAAGGAATCAAGGACTATACCTAAATTTGGACTGAACAAAGTTCAGAAGTTGATGATTCTGACAGACAGAGAAAGCCTGGGGAAGAGGGAGTTTGGTGGAGGATGGTGAAATTAGCACATCTCTACATTTATTTTGACCATCTTAAGTTTGAGACTCTTTAAGCCACCCAGGTAGAGATGTAAATCAGGAAAACATTTGTGAGATAGAGTTTAGGGAAGAGATCTTGGCCACAGAAACATATTAAGAGACCTAAGTCTATACATGTTGTACGAAGCCATGGACCGAACAAGATTGTCATGGAAATGCAGCCAGTACAGAAGAAAAAAGGGAGAAAAGTAGCCCAAAATCCAGATATGGAATGGAGGAAATAGTAAAAGTACTGATAAAGAGCAGAACATGACAAAAAAGTGCATGCATATGCACGAGCACACACACACACACACACACACACACACACACACACACACACGGAGGAAAAGAAGACCAAGGAAAAAAAATATCAAAATGAAGAGATTGATCAGCTATATGAAATGCTGCTGAAACATCCAATTAAATGAAGAGAAATAGTTGTCCATTGAAAGACTAACATGCCCTGATTAGCCTGTATTAGTTAGCTTTCTGTAACACAGTGCCCAACATCCACAATTTAAAGGTGGAGAGATTTCATTTGGCTTATGATTCAAGGGCTTCAGTCCAAGGTCACTGGCTCCCAGGCGGAAACATCATGGTGGAGGAAACCTGCTCACCTCATGGCAGCCAGGAAGCAGAGAGGCAAAGGAGGAGCAGAGGAAGAAGATCTGTCCTCCAAGGCATATCCCCAGCAGCACAACCCTTCCAACCGGGTCCATCTCCTAACAGCGCAGTTACTTAGAAGTACATAGATGGATCAATCTACCTGTTGGGTATAGCACCTTCTTGATCCAATCACTATCCCACCTCAGAACATATGAGACTCTTGGGGACATTCTAGATCTAAGTTACATAGCCAAGAAATCTTGAATAAAAAGAACAACGGTTTGATAAAGGTACTAAGAACACACAGTTTTAAAAGGGTAATGCCTTTAATAAATGATGTTAGTAAACTAGGTATCTATATGCAGAAGAATAAAATTAGATACTTCTCCCACACCCCTTGCAAAAACAACACAAACTGGACTTCAGACTTTAATGTAGGACCTAAAGTTAAAAAAATATTAGAGTAAAATATAAGATAAAGGCTCTGGGTGGCAATTTAATGCAGAAATGACATTAACCCAGCACTCAAGAGGTTGAAGCAGGAGGATCACATACATTCAAGGCCAGTAGAGTGAGTTCAAGGACAGCCTGAATTATATAATAAGACCTTGTGTCAAAAAAGAAAAAGAAAAAGGGGCTGAGGATATAGCTCAGCCGCATAGCACCTGCCTGGCAAGTACAAGGTCCTGAGTTCAATTCTTGGTACAAAGAAAGAAAGAAAGAAAGAAAGAAAGAAAGAAAGAAAGAAAGAAAGAAAGAAAGAAAGAAAGAAAAAGAGAGAGAGAAAGAAAGGGAAGAAAACAAAAGAAAAAATAGATACAACAGACTAAAATGTTCCTGTAGAAGACAATCAACAGAGCAAAAAGACAGCCTATAGAAAGGGAGAAAATATGTGTAAACCATGCATCTGGTAAAGGGTGAATATTTAAAATATATAAAGACTTAAAAGGAATAACAAGACAACTAGCTCAAGTTAAAAATTTGCAAAGGATATGAACAGGCATTTCGCAAAAGAAGATATACAACATGGAGTCAGGCAGGTAGTGCACATCAATAATCTCAGCATTTGGGAGGCTGAGGCATGAGGTTTCACCACAAATTCAAGGCAGTCTGAACTACATAATGAATTCAAGGCCAATCAAACTACAAGGGAGACCTTGCCTCAAAAAAGGAATGTCCAACAGGATGTGGAAAGTGTTCGGTGTCACTCACCTTCAATTCAATGCAAATCAAAATGACACTGAGATACAGTGCTCCTTCAGTTCATAAACTTAATCTTTTGCAAAATTCTGCTCATAGAATTCATTCCACAATTCTGATTGTAAATATGTGCTTGCAGTTTAGTTGTCACAGTTGTCACCAGAATCATGGAACAAATTCTGTAACCAGTATCAGGGAAAGAATTAAATTCATGAACTGAGGTACCCAATTAAAACAGTTATCATCAAAAAGGAGATTTTAAGTGTTGACAAGGACATAGAGAAAAAGGAATGTTTACCAATAGTGGGAAGGTAAATTGAGTCCCAAGTTATAGAATAAAGCATGAAGTTTCCTCAAAAAATTAAAAATCTCAATTTTTAGTTCAATAGTTATTATTTTTAAAAACTGCAGAAGCAAACAATGAAGTTTAAAGTTCAATGTAATTT